AAGCACTAGCTATGGAGACCAGAGGACTTGGGTGTGAATCCACCAGTCAGTCTGTCTGTGTGACCTTGGGTAAGTCAATTCACTGCCTTGGGCTTCATGTTCTGTATCTGTTAAATGAGGAAGTGGGACTAGATAAGTAGTTCTTAACCCTTTTTGGTCATGAACTCCTTTAGTAGTCTGGTGAAGTCTATGGACTCCTCAGAATAATATTTTTAAATGCATAAAATAAAATATACAGAATGATGAGCAAAATGAAATACGTTAAAATACAGTTATACATGTACATTTAAAAACAAGTTTATAGCCCCCAGGTTAATAAACCTTAGACCAGATGGCCTCTGAGGACCTTCCAGATCTAGACTTAGAACCTTAAACATTTATTTGATATGATCCAAAGACCCCTTCTATCAGCACCACCAAGCCTGATGAAGTTTTGTTGTAGTTGTTTTTTCTCTAAGGAATTAAGTTTAAGAAACATTTAAAATGCAACTACAAAAAGAGATCTCTGAGCCTGAAAGTTAACATGTCTATATATGTCATTGAAAGAGACTCTATGTAAGCCCCATATCAAAATATATTCAATATAGCTACACATGCATATGTTAATTGGTGTATATTACATATTGTCTTTCTTTATATGTGCCTTGCTTGCTTTAACTTACATAGTCTCTTAATCAAACAACTATCATCACAAAATAATTTTGGGGAAAAAGCATTCAGTGGTGAAATATGACTATATTTTCAACTCCTGGCTTAAAATTATACCCAAACTTTTATGACATTCATTGCATAAGCATTATCAAAAATTCCCTCTGTTGAGTTATTGGGGTATTAAAGATCACTCCTGCACCTCAGTATTTTCCCAGCTCTGGGAGAGTTAGTTCTCCAAGAAGAGGCTGGTGCAAAGTAAGAAACACATTGTCACTTTTAAAAAAAGACATAATGCAACATTTCATATCACCTTCCTGAAGACCATTTGCAAAGCTAAATAAGTAAAGGAAGTAAAATATTTTTGGTGCAGACCTTGCAGAGTCATTTCTAGGCTTTTAACCTTTTCTTTTCCCTGAATAATAAAAATTATTTCAAGTGATGAGTTTGCTTACCATATCTCATTCTGTTAGACACAGATTAAAGTTGATTGATTTTGTATAAAAAAAATACTCACTATAAAATTGTTCAGATTTTGTGTAATTCTATATTTCTTAAATTACAAACTACAATGTCACACTAACTAGTTGATGATACTTTTTAAAATTTGAAATGTTTTCACATACCAGTGAGTTTTCATCCTTCTCTAATTAACAGAAAGCTTCATAATCCCTGGGCCAGTTGGGCTGCAATCAAAAGCAGCCTAACTGTAGCATTAGACATACATTTTGTTGCAAATGTCTATCTGCAGAGTCATCTCATTTCCAAAGCTCTGAGGATGCATAAAGGGAAAAGCACAGAAAACTATTAACCATGTGCTATCATTGCAGTAATCTGACTGCCTTTGCAACCACCTCCCCCAAATGACAGAATCTTTACATCTCCACACACACACACACACACACACACACACTTTCAAATTGAAGCAGAATGTAACAAGAAACTAATTTTCCTTTCTACAAATCTTTTGCACACAGTTCTTAACTGAGTATCAACATCCTACTGAGTCTTGCCCTAATAATCTTGCAGACATCTACAGAGGTCAGGTTTTTTTTTCTCTTCACTTTCTTTGAACCAAAGACTATTGATCCAAAATTTAAAATCCCAGCTTTTCCCCCCACAATTGACAAGCTCCCTAGCTTTGCCATCTGGGTCTCTGAGCCCTGAGTTGTCAACACAGGGATTCTCCTTGCCTGGAGCTGCAGCTAAATCAAATGGACCAAAGTGCTCAGGTCTCTCCCACACAGACTGCAATGCTGCAGTCTGGTCATATTAACAAAGCAAGAGGAGTTTTGCAATTTCAATTCCCCTCTGTCACAGGCTCCAGATGGGGCAGGGAATCTTCTTAAAGAACTGACAGCTCACACACCAGACCAGCTTCCTCATTTTCATCCCATATGGATCACTTAAGACCATCCTTTAGGGACTTCACAGTATAGTCTGAGTTATAGATCACCTACTTGGAAAAGGAGGCAAGCTGAAGGTTAGCATAGTGTTGAATAGACCTCTGGAAGAGCAGATTTCTTCTTAGAAACTGCATGCATTTCTTCCTGAGACCAGCTTTGCCCATATTTGTGGGCCAATTCAAATACTGACAAACTTCCTGGTATTAATTTCAACATCTCTCATCCTAAAATATAAGTTCAATTTTTTTTTTCAAATTTATTTGCCAACTGCACCAGGCACTCAGTTGTGTAGATAGCTCACTTATAAACACACACACATATTTAAATTTTAAAAGATTTTGTGTTCCCCTTTTACATCAGGCACCCAAATAAAAGGATGTACTATGGGGTGGGGTGGGGTGGGGTAAAAAAAGATCACTTTAATTTAAAAAATGGAAAAGTAGTAGTTCACTTCCTTCAGGATTCTGATGTCACCCTTGCTAGAATTTGACTAAATGTAGCTAGCTATCTGATCTATCTGCATGACCCCTCTTCCTATTAACTAAATATGTATTTGGATGGAAACATCAGTAAGTGAATTGTTCATGACTTGAAATCATAAAAAGGGGCATTTTCCTGAGTAAAGCTCCTATTTGACCTTCAAGTATCAGTCCCTGTATCCTTTCATTTCCCTCTAGTCATCCCCATTCTCTCCTAGGTAAAGAATATATTATCCCAGAGATGAATTATGGTGTTGGATTTGTTTCATCTGCCTGTTTTAAGCCGTGCCCTGTACATGTGCTCACTGCATTGCAGGCAAGACACTGTGCATTCCCATCGAGGCTCAAAAAACAAAACAAAACAAAACAAACAAACAAACAAAAAAAAAAAAACAACAACACCACGCTACAGTGCGTCGATGCGGAGAGGGAAAGCCCTCGATAACCAGATGGGAAATTCTGGGTACGGGGTCCCCTGTGCTGCTGTTAATCGTGTGTGGTGGATATCCCCGGATTGCCAGCCTGGGGCGCTGGCCTTGGTCCTGCTGGCCGCCATAGCGCGCGCGCGCACACATACGCCTTACCTTCTCCCTTGGCCGTTGCAACGAGCTGTCCCCCACATTTAAAACAGGGCTTCTGGCAGGATCCCCCTTTGAGAACGAGTAACCAAAATTTCCGACCCAGCCTCCCCCAAATCCCAACCTAGCCCTCCCTAAGCCTTCTGGCTTTTTTTTTTTTTTCTCTCCTTGGCCTGACTCCAATGAGCTCATCTCCGGCTGGTATACGGCCCTGGTAGGGGGGAGGAGGGAGGGAAGGAAGAGTCAAAGAGAAAGGAGGGGGAGGAGGTAAAAATCAGGGGTCCTGCAGAAGGAATTAGAGAAAGGGGGGGACGGGGTGAAGGGGGCGGAACATGTTAAGAGATGTGAAATGCTGCTGAGAAAGGGAGGAGAGACGTCAGGCAGCCCTGATAGAACTGTTGGGGGTGGGGCTTAAGTGCAGAAAGTGGAAGTGGGAAGGAAGAGGGAAATACAGGAAAAAGGGGTGAAGACATGGAGAAAGGGGTGATGCAGGCAGGGCGAGGGAAAGACTGAGAAAGAAATGAGGACTGGGAGGGGACAACTGTCAGCAAAGTAAGAAAAATCAAGGGGTGAGAGAAAATAAAGAATCGGGGGGGAGTCTACATACAAAAAAAAATAATAAATACAGAAGTGCCGTGTTGAGGAGAGTGCCGTCTGTGGGGAAAGACCTAACAAGGGGGAAGTTGGGGTGGAAGGAGCACATACAGAGTGAAAAGCAATAGGTGGGTAGTGGGAGAGGAGGTATGAGAAGACAGATGAGAGAATCTGGAAGTGAAAAGGGCAAGGATCTTCCTAGGGATGAGAGGTTGGGGGCGGGGAAGACGTGAAGGGAGGGAAGAGGACGCAGCTGGAGGTGAAGAAAAGTAGAGGGCCAAGGTGGAGGAGCAATTGGGGGGGGG